TCAAGACGTGTTAGCTTGGTGTGGGAGGTCTTAACGCCACTGTAAACATTCTATGAGGTATATCAAGACGTGTTAGCTTGGTGTGGGAGGTCTTAACGCAACTGTAAACATTTTATGACGTATATCAAGACGTGTTAGCTTGGTGTGGGAGGTCTTAACGCCACTGTAAACATTCTATGAGGTATATCAAGACGTGTTAGCTTGGTGTGGGAGGTCTTAACGCCACTGTAAACATTCTATGAGGTATATCAAGACGTGTTAGCTTGGTGTGGGAGGTCTTAACGCCACTGTAAACATTCTATGAGGTATATCCAGACGTGTTAGCTTGGTGTGGGAGGTCTTAACGCCACTGTAAACATTCTATGACGTATATCAAGACGTGTTAGCTTGGTGTAGGAGGTCTTAACGCCACTGTAAACATTCTATGACGTATATCAAGACGTGTTAGCTTGGTGTGGGAGGTCTTAACGCCACTGTAAACATTCTATGACGTATATCAAGACGTGTTAGCTTGGTGTGGGAGGTCTTAACGCCACTGTAAACATTCTATGACGTATATCAAGACGTGTTAGCTTGGTGTGGGAGGTCTTAACGCCACTGTAAACATTCTATGAGGTATATCAAGACGTGTTAGCTTGGTGTAGGAGGTCTTAACGCCACTGTAAACATTCTATGACGTATATCAAGACGTGTTAGCTTGGTGTGGGAGGTCTTAACGCCACTGTAAACATTCTATGAGGTATATCAAGACGTGTTAGCTTGGTGTGGGAGGTCTTAACGCCACTGTAAACATTCTATGACGTATATCAAGACGTGTTAGCTTGGTGTGGGAGGTCTTAACGCCACTGTAAACATTCTATGAGGTATATCAAGACGTGTTAGCTTGGTGTGGGAGGTCTTAACGCCACTGTAAACATTCGATGACGTATATCAAGACGTGTTAGCTTGGTGTGGGAGGTCTTAACGCCACTGTAAACATTCTATGACGTATATCAAGACGTGTTAGCTTGGTGTGGGAGGTCTTAACGCCACTGTAAACATTCTATGACGTATATCAAGACGTGTTAGCTTGGTGTGGGAGGAATTAAGAAGTGAGGCAAGTCGCAGACTTTTACGAATTAGGTTGAAGCCACGAGCACTGTTATGGGGATGAAATGGATGACTTCAATTTCCGAAATTGTCTAAATTCCATTGACATTTAAAACGAGATGCTCTGCTCCTTCAAGAATCTGACCAAAAGTTCTTTTTATGTTTTCACGTCAACAACTATCACATAGTGTTGGTTGAAAACGATCAATATTATAACAAAAATGTTCCATAAAGATGTTAAAATGTTCAATGAAAACATGAGAGACAACGATGGCTTTGCAACCATTTTGATGGAGGAAGTCACGTGATAATTATGATGAGGCCGCCATGTGACAATTATGATGGTGGACGCCATGTGACAATATGATGCGGGACGTCACGTGACAAGGATGATGTGAGCGCGATATGACAACTATGATGGTGGACGCCATGTGACAAGTATGATGTGGGAGTCCATGTGACATGTATGAAGGTGGACGTCACGTGACAAGTATGATGGTGGACGTCACGTGACACGTTTGATGGTGGACGTCACGTGAAAAGTATGATGGCTGACGTCACGTGACAATTATGATGTGAATGAGTGAGTGAGCTGAAATTTTACATCGCATCGGCAATATTGCAGCCTTATTGAGATGAAAACAAGTTAATTATTATTAAATACCTGTCGACAAAGGACAGTAAAACAGTAAGTAATGTATCACAGCTTAGGTTTAAAACAAACCAGTTCTAATTAAAATCAAAGAATATTTTCAATAGATTAGGTAGCAAAAGATAAAACTAGGCTATATACCAGTGGCAACCAAAGCTAGACCACCTAACTGGGGATCACAGGGACTTACAGTGCCTTTCCTTCCTGCATGATACCCCAGCAGGATTTATGTCATCACTTTGGTCACAAGTGGTCATTTGCTACCCAATATTAAAACATCGAACCATAGTCAAGTAATTAAAACACTAGTTGATATTATACACTTTTATTTAGATGGACTTGCGTGCCACAGTCAGGAGGACAATAATTTTATGCTACTTTAACCCCCTGAATGGCACCGCCTTCAATAATATCAGTTGTTAATAATATCACACTAATTTAAAACAATTAGAAATCCAAAATTTATCAAATCACTATCACTATTTCTTTTAAAAAACCGAGAATTAAACGAACGTTGATATTATTAAAAAGATCCTTTAAAGACGAAGAATGATAATAAGAACCCCTTGTGAGAGAAAAGTACAGTCAAGCAAAATATGCTTGACTGTAATTCTCTCATCACAAGGGACGAAAAACGGAGGATCTTCACATTTTAGCTGCAATGCCTGTAGTGTCGCCATATGTAAACAGTATGCGATACCTACGTTGTCGCGACGTAAAAAATGGACGTTGTGACAACGTCTTGATTTGGTTGTATTTTGGTTTACGCACAACGTTGTAGCAACCAATCTGGGAGTCTACAGAATTACGTTGTGACAACGTAACATCACAACGTTGTAGCAACGAAAAGTAAACGTTGTCACAACGTTGTAACAACGTAGAATTGTTGGCTGGGTACGTTGTCGCGACGTTTTGGTTAAACGTTGTAGCAACGTAAAAAATGGACGTTGTGACAACGTCTTGATTTGGTTGTATTTTGGTTTACGCACAACGTTGTAGCAACCAATCTGGGAGTCTACAGAATTACGTTGTGACAACGTAACATCACAACGTTGTAGCAACGAAAAGTCAACGTTGTCACAACGTTGTCACAACGTAGAATTGTTTGCTGGGATATGCATGGGTATAACGGCTATGGCCAATGCGACATCGTCGTAAAATAACTTCACCGTGTCGTGACTGGCAACCCAAGTAGGTATATCCTAGATTTGGTTTTATTGCATGCAGTTTGTTCATACCTACATGTAACTGGGTATTCCACTTTGTTTGCCTAAATGTTTGATATAGACTTTGAGTGTGGAATCAGAATGTTAGAGACATACTTTTCAAGGGCAGCTGCAGTGTCTGCTTTTGTATTGCCCACGATGCCAACATGGCTTGGTAACCAACAAAATATGATGCCGCATTGGCCAGTAGAGAGATCATTGTACAATTCTAAAATGTCAAGGCTATATAGATGATTTAGAGAGACATTGTTTAGTGCTTGAAGACATGAAAGAGAATCAGAAAAAATGATAAAATTGTTTGTTTGTTAGACTGATGTTGAATGAAATCCAAGACTGTTTTATAGCGTTTGCTTCAGCAGTGAAAATGGAGCTATTGTCTGGGATTCGAGTAGATATGATTTTTGATCAAATGACAGTGGCACTGGAAACTTTACCACTATCCTTGGATCAATCCGTGAAGATTGAACGATGGGAATCATATTTGCGTCGTAATTGTGAAGATCCGGGGTAGAATAGGTCCTCAGCAACTCATGCTTGCAGTAAAAGGCGACAAACGGGATCGGATGGTCAGGCTCGCTGACTTTGTTGATGCATGTCATTGTATCCTAATTGCGTGGAGACCCGTGAAGATCCGGGCTAGAATAGGTCTTCAGCAACCCATGCTTGCTAAAAGGCTAAAAGGCGACAATGCTGGTCGTAAAAGACGACTAACGGGATCGGGTGGTCAGGCTCGCTGACTTGGTTGATGCATGTCATCGTTTCTCAATTGGGTAGATGGATGCTCATGATATCAATCACTGCATTGTCTGGTCAAGACTCGATTATTTTGAGTTCGGCGTAAAACAACAAACCAACCGTAATTGTAAATATTTTAAATCATTTCTGTCAGATTTGTTTCATTGAGTGAGTGAAAGGTCCATACCCGTGAAGATCCGGGATAGAATAGGTCTTCAGCAACCCATGCTTGTCGTAAAAGGCGACTAACGGGATCGGGCGGTCAGGCTCGCTAACTTGGTTGATGCACGTCATCGATTCCAAGTGCGTGGATCGATGTTCATGATGTCAATCACTGGATTGTCTGGTCCAGACTCCATTATTTACAGACCGCCGTCGTATAGCTGGAATATTGCTGAGTGCGGCGTTAAACAACAAACCAAACCAAAAAAGACAAGTATGATGTGGACGCCATGAGACAAGTATGATGCTGGACGTCACGTGACAAATATGAAGTGGCAAGGGACAAGTATATGGCAGTCGACAGTGTGGACATTTTAAGAGGACTTTCCCTATATGCTGCTCCCACGTTTTTTACCCATTGTATTTTCCTTTTTCTCTGATGAACCAAAGCTGTGTTTTTCAATACCATTTGTAAAGTATTCATGCATTGACCTTGTGTTGTCTTGTACTGATTTCATAATTTAATTATGTACTCACCGATTTGTGGGTCAAGCTCTGGATTTAGTTGGTTGGTTTGTTGTTTAACGCCGCACTCCAGCGGTATGATGGCGGTCTGTACATAATCGAATCTGGACCAGACAATCCAGTGATTGACATCAAGCGCATCGATCTACGCAATTGGGATACGATGACTTTTGATTGATTGGTTGGTTGTTTAACGCCGCACTCAGCAATATTCCAGCTATGTGACGGCGGTCTGTAAATAATCAAATCTGGACCAGACAATCCAGTGATTGATATCATGAGCATCGATCCACGCAATTGGGATACGATGACTTTTGTTTCATTGGTTTGTTGTTTAACGCCGCACTCAGCTATATGACGGCGGTCTGTAAATAATCAAATCTGGACCAGACAATCCAGTGATTGATATCATTAGCATCGATCCACGCAATTGGGATCGATGACATGCATCAACCAAGTCAGCGAGCCTGACCACCCGATCCCGTTAGTCGCCTTTTACGACAAGCATAGTCGCCCTTTACGGCAAGCGTGGGTTGCTGAGGGGCTTTTCTACCCTGGGTCTTCACATAACTCTTCCTTGTATGGCCCCAGTAAGAAACAAAGTAGAATTACATGTGTATGTTGACTTGGTTGATTGTGTGTCATCGAACCTCGACTGAATGAAACGTTGTTCATATTATCAATCACTGGATTGTCTGTACCAGGCTCCCTTTTATATATATATATAAAGGCCGCGGTTCTCAAGCTGTGTAATTAGCGACGCTAAACAAAAAATGATCAACGAGCACACTCATCCAGGCCTGAGACGCACAACAACAAATTGCGCTGTCAAGATCAATAATATTTCACACAAGTTACAGAGATCGCGAGAGGGAGCTCGGCTACTGGCAATCTGCGTCGCCAACTGAGCAGCAACATTTGCACTGAGCGTGAGACGACAATGGTGAGCTCTTCACTGTGCAGTGTTCAGCGCTGAGTAGAAACACGGAGTCTACGAGGTTTCTCTCACTCTATGCTGCGGATAACACGATATCACTGGACTTAGGCATGGCGTCTGTCAATACTACGTTCAATGAATCTGGTAAGTATTGTTTGCATTTGTGCTTTCTGTCAAGTGTTTTTGCATACATACTTGTAATGATTGTTTGGTTTGGTTTGTTGTTTAACGCCGCACTCGGCGATATTCCACCTATATTACGGCGGTCTGTATGTACATAATCAAGTCTGGACCAAACAATCCAGTGATTGACATCATGAGCATCGATCCACGCTGTTGGTTTGGTTTGTTGTTTTACGCCGCACTCAGCAATATTCCAGCTATATGACGGCGGTCTGTACATAATCGAGTCTGGACCAGACAACCCAGTGATTGACATCATGAACATCGATCCACGCAATTGGGATCGATGACATGCATCAACCAAGTCAGCGCGCCTGACCACCCAATCCCGTTAGTCGCCTTTTACGACAAGCATAGTCACCTTATACGGCAAGCATGGCTTGCTGAAGACCTATTCTACCCCGGATTCCACGCTGTTAGGATACGATGGCATGCATCAACCAAGTCAGCGAGGCTGAACACCCGATCCCGTCAGTCGCCTCTTACAACAAGCATAGTCACCTTTTACGGCAAGCATGGGTTGCTGAAGACCTGTTTTACCCCGGAGTCTTCACGGGTCCAGCGGGGAGTAATGGCTGTGTAATGGCCATGTGTAGGTTTTCCTAAAAGGCCGGATTTGGCGACCAGACCAAGACGTAATTTGGATCGAAGACATGTATAAACCAAGTCACCGTTTACGACAAGCATAGTCGCCTTTTACGGCAAGTATGGGTTGCTGAAGATCAAGTCTACCCCGGATCTTCAAGGGTCTGGGCGTCGCTGGATGTGGATGCTGCAGCTAGGTGGTACACAATGAAAATGACGATAATTAATAAAGATCAGTTAAACATTATGTCCCTGAACTTTAGAGGTCTGAATAATAGAAAACAAGTGTTCACACTTTTAAGAAGTAAAAAGGCATAAATCTTCTGCATTTCACAGCTGATCAGGAACAATTATTAAAGCAGCAGTGGGGTTATAAAGTATGTTATGTAAATCCATATAGAAGTCATGCTAGGGGAACTGCTATATTGCTAAAAAACGAAAGAAAGTATAAAACAGGATGAATTGCTTGTAGAAACTAAACAATTCTATCAACAATTGTGTATCGAGGAAGAATATGAATTTATCAACTTAGAAGAGATTTTTTAACTGTTACAGACATTCCAAGGCTATCTAACCAACTGTCATTGGAACTAGAAGGGGAAATAACCACCAAAGAAGTAATAGATGCACTAAAGACAAGCGTATAGTCGACAAAGTCATTTATATCCCCCGCCCATTTTAACACGTTGTGGTCCCAAACCAGATAACTGACCCAACACCCCCTCAATAAACATTTCTAAAACTCCTTAATATCAAATGGCACCAGTTCAGTATGTGCCTGGTAGACATGCAAAGATTTGTAAGAAAGGATTTAACGGTTTTTGAGATTCGCTCCGGAAACGAACACCACCCTTATAGAACCTAAGTCCAACTTGTTGCCATGGAAACGTAAGAAATAAAAAATTCTGAAATTCCTAAATAGCAAAAGGCACCAGTTCAGTATGTCTCATAAACATGTTAGAAAAGATTGTTTGTTTGTTTGTTTGTTGTTGTTTAACGCCGCACTCAGCAATATTCCAGCTATAATATATAATATATATGGAGGCGGTCTGTAAAATAATCGAGTCTGAACCAGACAATCCAGTGATTGACATCATGTGAATCGATCCACGCAATACGGATCGATGACATGTATCAACCAAGTCAGCAAGCCTGACCACCAGATCCCGTTAGTCTCCTTTTACGACAAGCATAGTCGCCTTTTACGGCAAGTATGGGTTGGTGAAGACCTATGGGTTTTGAGTTTCGCTCCGGAAACGAACACCACCCTTATAGAACCTAAGTCCAACTTGTTGCCAGGGAAACGTACAAAATTAAAATATTCTACAATTCCTAAATAGCAAAAGGCACCAGTTCTGCACGAGTCTGATAGACATGCAAAGTTTCGTAGAGAAATAGTTCACGGTTTCTGAGTTATGCTCCGGAAACGATTTCGGGACGCACGCACGCACGGACACGGACGGACGGAATTCATTTCAATATTCTCGGCAACTTCGTTGGGGCGAGGGATATAAATGAAAAAAAGAAAAAGCCCAGAACCAGGAATGACCTTGAAAAAATATTTAATAGATTCACTAAATTATGGATACAGAAATGATTAATTATCTGTAACTCAGAAACGGGGGCCAATTACTTGCTTACCAAAAGAAAAAAATGCGAAAACCTTTCTTTAAAAATTGTCGCCAATCTCGCTGTTAAATACAACTTCTTAACTTGCATCAGCTGTCATAACAAACAGTGATAGCAAATAGAATTAAAACGGCATTACCTTTTATAATAAATGAGGAGCCATCATACAGCTGGGATATTGCTGAGGGTGGCGTTAAACAACAAAGAAACAGACAAACATTAGGGATTTTGTTCCTGGGAGATGTATTGGAGAAGTGACTAGATTTTTATATGATTTTAATTGATAATACAGAAAGTTATCAAATACCAGGTTTACTGGTGTTAATAGATTTTGATACGGATAATATAACTTTTGTTTTTGTTTTCAATTTGGATCAAGTATTCAAAAATAGATGTCAACATTTTTTAATGGCATGGAATCCAGTGAAGGTGTTAATGGATTTGCGAGTCCCTTTTTTAAGATATTAAGAGGCTTTCCGCAAGGTGACCCAGTATCGCCATATTTGTTTATAATTTGTGCAGAACTTTTGGCAAATATGATAAGACATAATCCTAAAATAAAAGGGATTAAGATAGGAAATATTGAACACTTGCTGTCACAATTTCAGATGGATGGGACAGAATGAAGCCTTAATACTGTATTGCAAACATTGTAGGTTTTTGCTAGATTGTCTGGTCTTAAGGCTAATGCGGAGTGAACTAAACTTATTTGAATTGGTTAAAAAAAGATAAGGATAGAGGATAATTATAAAATAAAGTTTGAAAATATTGAGAGAGAAATGAACCAATGGACGGTAAGAAATTTGACTCAAAGGCGTATAATATAAGATATAGTCTTAAAAAGCATCTTATTGTCAAAATTGAATTTTTTTTTCTTCCCTACCCAACCCCCTAAAAGATGTTTTAAATTTGTGCGGAAGGGAAAACCGAATAAAGTGATAAGACAAATAATGTCTTAACCCCAAAAACCTGGCGGAATTAACATGCCAATTATAAAGGATGTGATTGAAGCACAAAAACTTTCATGGATCAGAAGATTATATTGTTATCACTCAAAATGGACTGAGACTGAGTCAGTTGCTTGCTGTATTCCAAATAGAGATTATGGTTGGCAGATGTAGTTATTGCTCAAAATACCATACATTTATTTTGGAGGGATGATTCGGAAGCTTGGGCAACATACTTGTCCAAAATGAAAGTGAAAACTGGTCAAGATATTATGAGACAATCTATATGGTTAAATAGGAGAATACAAATAGATTTGGGAAAAACTGTACATTTGGATAAAATCCGTTGTGGAAGGAACCATTGATTTGAACAGAGAACATGTTTTGTTTGGATTTCAAGACAAACACAACAACCCATGGAATATTGTACTTATAACAAAAAAAACAACAACAAAAAACAAGTAATATACAGACAATGAAGGAAAGGATTAATGCCACATTTTGAACACATTCAGCATGAGATAATTAGTTATTACACTGCTACAAGGGTAGTTTAATTTTCAAATTGTAATAATGCAACCCTTTTTAGTTTTTAATCTTGCTTCCACACTTTGTTTAAAATCCAATCTGTAAGACACACTGATACAGACCCGTAAAGATTCCGGGGTAGAATAGGTCTTCAGCAACCCATACGTGCAGTAAAAGGCGACTATGCTTGTCGTAAAAGGCGACTAACAGGATCGGGTGGTCAGGCTCGCTGATTTGGTTGATGCATGTCATCGATCCCAATTGCGTGGATTGATGCTCATGATGTCAATCACTGGATTGTCTGGTCCAGACTCGATTATTTTACAGACCGCCGTCATATAGCTGGAATATTGCTGAGTGCGGCGTTAAACAACAAACAAACAAACAAACAGTACGTTGACTTTATAGGCAAGAATATATATGTATGATTGGTTGGTTGGTTGGTTTGTTCGTTAACGCCGCACTCAGAGAACATCTTTTGCGACGCTTGCGTTACACGTCAGTTTTTGGGTGGAATGTAATGGTATAGGTGCTATTACAACTCATGGGAGAACACACGTACAACTCATCATTGTTTATGGCCATTTGAATGGCGTTTCGCTACCGGCACGACGTCTTTCGAGATACTTTTCTACCCTTTGTGCAAATGCACGGACGTAGCGTTACGTTGCAGCAGGATTATGTCCGCCCACAAAGTCGACTAAGGCGCCGCGATTCGCTGTGCAGAGTAGCGTCCCTTTGGGCACGCCAGTTACCTATGATTGTTGGTTCGAATCCCGGTTTGCCCCGATTATGTGTCTAGGTTTGTCAACACCATACCCGTGCTCGTGGGTTTCACCGAAGTGGTAAACTTCTGAGACCTGCATCACTCCGAGCTTTCCTCCCACATTAAGCTGACACGCCGTGATAAACCTGGAATACTGTTAAATGCGGCGTTAAACCCAACTCGACCCGTGAAGATCCGGGGTAGGATAGGTCTTCAGCAACCCATGCTTGCCATAAAAGGCGACCATGCTTGTCGTAAAAGGCGACTAACGGGATCGGGTGGGCAGGCTCGCTGACTTGGTTGATGCATGTCATCGATCCCAATTGCGTGGATCGATGCTCATGATGTCAATCACTGGATTGTCTGGTCCAGACTCGATTATTTACAGACCGCCGTCATATAGCTGGAATATTGCTATGTGCGGCGTTAAACAACAAACCAACCAACCAACTCACTAAACTCAACCCAACTCACTCACTCACTCACTATTGCACGTGTTAACATGG